GTCGCCGCCACGGGGCCCCCCCCCCCCCCCCCCAAACCTGGGTCAAGCCAGAATGCCCCCAGCACCTGCAGCATGCCCAGAATCAGCTCCTGTTCCCTGAAGTTGAGCCCAGCTATGCTGGTGTAGCATTTCTAGAGGAATAGACACATTAGCATCATGAACAGATTTCCTCCTCGCCATCAATCTGGTAAGAAGGAGACAGACTAGCTATGTACACGAGGTTAAGTTACACAGATGCTTCCAAAATAAGTAGGACAATTCGTATTGAGTTGTGGTTTTGGCATGAATTATGGCACCAAGCTTCTAAACATAAATAAGATCATGGAGTTAATTTCAATTCTGTAGGAGTAAAATCTCCAACTAGGACAACCGGCATCCTCACTTCCAGAAGAAGGAATAAGTATTGTGCATCACAGTGAAAGAGTCCAGGTCCATTTCAGTTAGTGTGCTAATCCAATATTTTTAACAGTCATGACCGAAGAACGGTGCCACTTCTAAAAGTTAAAATTAGATTTCCAAGTCTCATTTAAAAACCTGAAAATCCTCATCAGTTGGTGCATAAGAAAACCCTAAAAAAGCATCTGAAGCGCTGGAGCAGCTGGCAGCTAAGTCAGGTGTGCGAGTGATGGAGTTTGAGACTGCTTCTTGAGTGAACTCTGGGTCAAAATGTCGCAGATCAGCAGGACCAGACTAAAAAAAGAGAAGTATTTCAGATTAAATAGGCCTAAGCTTTCAGGTTACTGCTTTAGACAAACCCTCACTCTCCTGCCCCAGAACTTGCTGACTGCATCCCCCAATGAGCAGAACAACAAGAAGCAGGGACTGTACTATTGGGAGAAGAGCAGAAGGAAATAGGGGGACACAGGCAGAAGACACAAGTTACTGTTAGGTTCCTAGAGGACATTGATTTCTGCCCTCCCTAAAATCTCCCATATCCAGAAGTGGCTAGAACACGTGAACAAGAGAGACCTTTGATCACTGCAATCTCAAATTTCCTTCCTACTAATACAGGACTATGTAGAACTTTAAAGACTAACAAGATGGTTTATTAGATGATGCACTTTCGTGGGCCAGACCCACTTCCTCAGATCAAATAGTGGAAGAAAAAATAGTCACGACCATATATACCAAAGGATACAATTAATCCTTTGGTATATATGGTCGTGACTATTTTTTCTTCCACTATTTGATCTGAGGAAGTAGGTCTGGCCCACGAAAGCTCATCATCTAATAAACCATCTTGTTAGTCTTTAAAGTGCTATAGTCCTGTATTTTGTTTCAGCTACACCAGACTAACACGGCTACATTTCTATCACTTTCCTACTAATGAAAGAGAAACCTGCCTCAGCTACCCCACTTACCACATTGGGGTTGAAGGGAGGCGTGATCCTCTTGTGATACAAGTCATCCCAGTTTATTGGGCTGAAGAACACATTTTTCTGGGGGGGGGGGAATGGTCAGTCTCCTCAACCATCCCTTTTCCAACAGTCACCAAATAGGCACAGACTAGTGGATTGTCGTCACTTTACAACATGCTGAAGAAAAAAAACCATGTTGTAAAGTTCCTCTTCTTGGCAGACTGACATATCCCTACTACATCTGCCAGTTTATTGTGTCCTGCTTATGGTGCAGGAATACTGCATACTGGCAGCCCAGTCCTTTGCCATACTTTTAACCCATGAAAGTATAAAGACTGGTCTGAGCCACAACCTCCTATTGTGTTACTAACACTGATCTTAACCACCACCCCGAAAGCTACCCCAGAGTTTTATTTATAAACATCTAGAGATTCACAGGCTGCATACAGGCAATATCGTAGCACTTTGAAAAGTAGCCAAGTTGAGCCTTATGAGACACTGCAAGGTAGCTAGGTCCAGAGCTTGACTGATACCCAGAAGGAGCTTTCTTTCTGCTATGGTGACATGTCACCCCATCTGACACTGCAGTTTTCCTAAAACCAAGTTCAACCGATGTAGAAGAGACATGGAAAAAAGAGGGCCTAGGAGAAAGGTGAATCGGCCATGTATGAACAGAATCTCTTAGGACAGAAAACACCACATACAAAGTCCATCTTGGCCCCCAATCTCTTCTTCTGGTCTTTGTGGAGCAGTCCCTGTAAGATATCACAAGCTGCAGTGGTCTTGGTTCCTTGGATCTGGAGTGGCTGGTGTAGAATATTGTCATACATCTGAGACACATCCCGGCTGTAAAAGGGAGGCTGAGGATGAGAGGCGAGTCAGAGTCAGCTGCATAAGAAATGAGCTACTATAATGAAGCATGCAAACAATTTCACAGCTGTGAGAGAATTCATTCAAATTCCATTTCTACAGCATGTGCAAGGGAGACAGGCTAAATGCTTTCAGCTTAGCAAGATTAGGATGACTGTTTCAACTAGTCATTTTATTTGTGTTGGGACTGTCTCTGTTATGGAACCTTATACATGGAACTACTGTTTTAGTGGCCTGTCGCCTTGAAGAGATCATGGCTTTCTTTCAGGAGAGTCACTTTGCTCACTAATAAGTAGCAGTGTGTAGTTCTAAGACTCACCAACCCAAACAGCATCTCATAGAGGACAGCTCCCAGACACCACCAGTCTACTGTTCTGTCATAGGGTTGTTTTCTTAGAACCTCTGGGGCCAAGTACTGTGAAGAGTCAGAGAGCTTGGTTTGAGACAAGTTATAAAGGGTTCCATGATTACATATTCCAGTCTGCAGTTAGTTAATCTCTAAATAAAGGCATGAGTGTGGCTTGAAGCTGTGATGTACTAAATAAATGAATAAATAAAAAAGCCAATGGACAATTTTCCCCTGTCACAAGACTGGATCTACAGCTAAAAACTTTTCCTAGAATTTGAGAAGCTCCCATCTTCCTATTTACAATGAGGAGTTTTAGCTGAATTCAGACCAGTGGTGTGGCTCTTTGCCCTAAATGCACAGCTATTTCTAAAGTCATTGACTGACTAATACAGTTCAATTAACCTGGAAAGTCGCAGATTTCCTCTCCCTGTATATAGCATAAAGACATATGTTATGTCAAGAGATACTGGTGACTGCTTAAATCCCAAGTTTCTTTGAGACTGGGTGTGAATGCACCCTTCCATACACCTAACTGCCAGAATAAGTTAATCAGAAGCTCCCTCATCTAAAGGGAGGTTGTGAAACCACACAGGAGTGATGACTGAGTGGCTGGAGGTGGCTTGTTGAGTAAGGGAGGGGAGGCAAAACACAGAAACTGAGACAGAACAGAAAGAGGCAGTAACATGAAACAAGAAATACCACCAGGAGGCAGTGAGGACAGCATGACACTGGAGAAAGCTAGAGAGAGTTTTTGGGTCTGTTGGCTAGAGGCTTGGGGCTATAAACTAAGAAATCACTTCATTTGTTCTTGGTTCCTCCTGCATTCAGAGAAGCAGAACTTTGACACTGTTGTATTTATTTACAAAGCAATACCCGATTTTTCCCAGTTTCTGTTCCCATCTGGAAAGTCTTTAGGGCCCTGAACGTCGATTAGCTGCTTGGTTCAGAAAGAGGCAACAACAACAACCTTAAGGGAAATTTGGGTCCATTTCAAAGGTGTAACAAGAGACATTTGATGCAAGACTGAACTGGGGTCAGAACTACACATCAGGTAAGTTACAGAAGCAGCTGTTCTTGACCAGCTCCACAGACTGTACTACTTAACCCTGCCCAGCAGGCATGTTTTATGCCCTCAGTGCTGCTCCTGGATCAGCTTTCACATGGCACTCCCCATCAGTACTAGGGATGTGACTAGTCGACTATCCAATAAGCATAAGCTTATCGGACAGTCGAGTAGTGACTCAACTAGTTTCCCCCCCCGCTTCTATCAAAGGCAGCAAGGCGGGGAGCAGGAGTCGGTTTCCCCCAGCACCATCTCCAAGGGGGGTGAGGAAGGTGGAGGGCAGAGGCCTGGTGGCTCTTAATACATTTAAAAGGCAGGGTCAGCAGCTAATACCGCAGTAGCTTCCCCCCTTTATTGACTAGTCAATTAGTTGATTAAACACAATTTAACATCCCTAATCAGTACCTCCAACCTGGGATACTAAGCATGCAACCAGCAGATCAAATCCTGATCACAGGCCACCTGAGGCACATAGTGCATATGCTAAGAAGTGCTCCAACCCACCTACCTCTAAGAACCACATACAAGACTTCAATAATGCTTCACAAAGACATCGGCATACCAGACAGAGTCACACATCGCTATTTTAAATGCTAGCAATCTCAGCATCAAGTAATAAGGACAAGTCAATACATCTGAGCTTCCACAGAAGTTTTACTGAATTCATATCGGAGCTCACTTTGTGGGCTGTAAAACTGGGGCAGCCTTATGAGCATATTATCAGCCACCCTCATGAGCTTATTGCACAGCAGAGGACAATGAATGGAGGGGGCCTGCAACATGGTAATGGACCAGAACTAGATTAAGGTGCATAATCAAGCTTTGTGTTTGTATTTTATTTCTCACAGAAAATTCTGCAAGGAGAGAATGGGATTGGAATACCTGAAAATGCACCACAAGTCTCCCTTCCAGTAGCCTCCAGAGAGTCTCATTTCTACCCAACACCCTAGCAAACCAAATCCAGGCTGGAGAGTTACTTAAATCTGACCTGTTAGTGTTAAGGACCCAGAAGAGATTCTGCCTATTGAATGCAGTCCCTGCAGTCAGTCTGAGGAGCAACACTTCTAGTATTTCAGCTGCATTTGGGCGAATGGGACATAGAAATCACGTGAGTGGCAGGAAACATTCCCTCCCCTATCCCAAGCAAAAGATATTTTAAATTGTGTGCTGCCCTGACAGGACACATTTTACATTACCATCATTTACACCCATGCTAGAACAAAACTTCCTATTCTTCTTGATAACATTTTACAGCTACTTTGCAGTGGTGATGTCACAAGGTAGAAGGCAGCAAAGGGCCACAAACTGCATCATCAGGAGACACTTAAGACCGTGTCACTGTTAACTCAGTGTTCTGCAAATTAAGGGGCAGCAGCAAGTAAATACCTGGAACACCGTGCTCATAGCTACAGGAGTCAAGACAGTATTATAAGTAAGGAACATAGCTACAGAGGGTCCTGGTTTCTAGTGTCAAGGTTGTCACCATGGCTACTGGAAGTCTTACCAGGTTCTGTGGAAACTCCCATGCCAGAATCAACAGGATTCCCACCACCCCAAAAAGTAGCAACACTTTTCAAGCATGTTTATTCAACATACTAACTGGTTTAGCAAAAGCCATCCTGTCAAGTTAAAATAAGGCTTCGCCTACGCACAATGATTATAAAGCTTTAACTATAATAATGTAAACTTAAAAACCAACAAATAGTCCGGTAGCACTTTAAAGACTAATAAAGTATGTAGATAGTATCATGAGCTTTCGTGGGCACAGCCCACTTTTTCAGATGACCAAAGTGTTGGAGGATGTCCAGAATTAAAATAAATGGGGGCGGGGGGAGAAGAGAAGGAAAAAATGGAAAGGGTGGGGAGAAACAAGAAGAGGTCATGGGTATAAAAATATCAAGGGGAAATAAAAATATCAAGGGGAAAGCCGAGCTGGAATTTAACAGGTTGTTATAATGTAGCTCCACTGGCAGCAAGTAGCTATTAGCTGCTTAGTGGCTTCTCACGTCTGGGGTTCTAGACCTGCAGGGGCCTTTGTGACATGCTCTAATCTCCTTTAGTATTTCACCTGCAGGGTTACCAGCTATGCTCTTCCTAGTCAAGCCTGGAATTTCTGTCCCTAGAGTCTACCACGGTGTGCTTGTTTCATCTCAGGTTTTTGGGTGTGCTGTGTTAACACCTGGTGCCACTCCCCCACCAGTAAAATTACTCTGTCCTTCTGGTACAAAAATGTAGTTAGTACAACCCTGTCCCTCGCCCCTCACACACTTCCTCAAGCCTGGTGTAGACACAATTTTATCACTAAAGTTATTCTCGTATAAGCCCCTTTACACTAGACAGAACTGCATCCATACTGATGCACTTATACCAGTACAAAAGAGATCTGTGGGTAGACCAGGCCTATCCATGTTTAAATCTTGAAACCCGATTCCTGCAGAGGAAAGTTTAAAATGAAAACAAAAACCCCACATGTTAGGTTAAGAGTCAGTCAGCAGGTGAGGCACTGGGAAAAAAAAAGCAGTATTAGGTTGCAGAGGACACCTAGTTGACATGAGTCAGCTTTTTCTAGGCTAGTTCATCTATACTTGGGCCTTGCTACTGTCAATGGTCATCAGCAATGGATCCTCGTCAACCCTTCTAAACACATGTCGAGAATAGATATGTTTTCAGCACCATTCCAGGAAATGGAAATGAGGCCCTCCTCCAACACACCCTATTAAACTGAAGCCTCGTCTTCATTTCTAAAATGGTGAGGTAATGAACACATGCGAGCTATCCAGACAGAGGTAAAACTGCAGGGCTTAGTGCAGACTTCATCTAGTTTACCTAGTGGTAAAACTGAAGTGCCTTGTCTTCATTGTGTTTTTACCTCAAGATACCAGTCTCAGACACATTAGTTGCCCCAAGGTAAAGGCTGTTTTTCAGCAGGGATCATTAGGTTTATCCTCTTCCTCAGATTCAATAGGAATACAAGTGGGAGGGGAGGAAGGGAAAGGAATGGGGGGGGGGAGAAAGATGGCAGTTTTACATTGCTGAAAAACAAGACAAAACAAAACAGTGGTTTTTGTAAAAGAGTATTAAGAACTCGGCGGGACCCAAACTGGTACGGCAGCAATGGAAAAGAAACAGGAAGTTTAGTTTCCTTGGTACCTTTTATGCAACATGCCAGCAAATTTAGCACTGGGCACGTCAGAAAGCTGAGACTCGGTTCTTGATTTTTCAGTGGCACTGAATACACACAGCTACTGATACCTCTGTGCAGAGCTGAGCACCTGCTGCTCTGAGGTGTCAGGCAGCTAGTGCTTAAGTAACATCCAGTTAACAAGAAAGTTGACCATCTTGTACCTCCGGGGTGCCGCAAAAAGTAGATGTCGTTTCCTCTTGCTCCATTCCTTCTTTGCAAAGTCCAAAGTCTGTCAGTACTATGTGTCCCTAAAGAGAAGAGATTTCAGCCTACTTAGACTCTCCATAAATGAAGGGTGGGAGTGGCATGGCTTTCTAGCACCCTTTGTTGTTTTCACGTGCACTTTTCCGCTTCCCTATTGTTGGGCATTTATACTTACAAACAAATTGAACACGAGGCATGACAGATTTCTCAAATATGTGATTTAAATGTAGGCTTGGAATAATTTGAATTGTAACCAGTAAATATCAATTTCACTGTATCCACTGATGTAAAGCATATGTTTCTATCTGTAATCAACAGTTACTTTTTTTTCCAGTTTTAGAAAAATGCTCCTTGAAAACTTAGTTTGATTTAAAGATATTTACTGTGTGTATTTTGACATGTGATATTGACAATATGCCTTTCAATTATAAAGCATTAACTTTAATTTCAAAGTTGATTGTCATTAAATAATATTCTGACCCATAGTTTCCTGCAACTGTGCAAATGTAAAACATTGTGTCACCATTATAATAAACAAAAAACAAAAAACATAAAATTCTGCCCCACTGATGTAGCTAACTGATCAGCATAGCATTGCAATCAATTGAACAATTAGCCTACACCTATTCCAGTCCAGGGAATGGCTTGGTGAAGCTTTACAATGCTCAAGTCTAGACCTGCCATATGGGATCCTTACAATGCTTGCCCATGGGTTAGTGCTTGGGTATAACAAAAATGCTCACATCTGAGAGCTCTAGGAAACTACTGAGTAGCAGGAAGGTACGTGCATATGCAGAGCTGATATTGCAGCTTGCTTTACGAGTCAGTGCTGTGGCTCCCCCTGCAGAATGGATTTTGGGTAAGAACATAGGAACATAAGAACGGCCGTACTGGGTCAGACCAAAGGTCCATTTAGCCCAGTGTCCTGTCTGCCAACCCCAGCCAGTGCCAGGTGCCCTAGAGGGGGTGGACCAAAGACAATGATCAAGCGATTTGTCTCCTGCCATGCATCTCCAGCCTTTCACAGAGGCCAGGCACACCACTCCTTACTCCCTGCCCAATAGCCTTTTATGGTACACCAGGTTAGTGGGGAGGGGCGGAAGGGAGGCTGTAATTACTCATTGTCCCTCTGTCATCCAAGTCATTTAAGTTAGTGCCCACTGACATTTTTGGAGAGAATGCAGGAAGCAGGCATGTTTGCAAGAGAGACAAACATACCTGGCAATCCAGAAGGATGTTTTCAGGTTTTAAGTCCCTAGAAGAAGAGAAAGACATTTCCAAACTGCCCAGCACACAACAGCTCCAGTTGAGAAGAATGGAGACTGCTGGCTACTGAGAAATTTTGACCATCTGGTGCATGAAGGTCTACAAAAGGTCAGGAACAGGAAAAAAAATTTTTTTAAGTTTTTCCTGTTACAGACTAACTCAGCTACCCCTCTGAAGCTTAGGAACTGTACAGTCGAGCGCCTGCAGCTGCCATGAATCAACATAGGCATGCGTTTTGTTTATAAATATGAGTGTTTCTGTAAGGCTAGGGATGCTGTTCATGATATTCTATAGTATTTCATTACTGCTGTGGGAAACATCTTTCGTCTTCTGACCTAAGAGAGGCCCGTATGTGGGTGTGTGTGAGAGAGAAGCGTGCGAAAGCACCCCCCATGGACTCCCAAGTAAGCACGCTCCCACCAGCCAGTAAAAGGCAGGAGCAGTGCCCTGCCCAAGCCTCCCTTCCCCCAATCTCTGGCTGGCCGGGGGAAAGCTGGGGCTGATTTCCCCACTTACTTGGGAGACCATGGGGGGCACATTCACACCTCATGTGTCCTTCACATCTCAGGTGTACTAACTGCCCTCTCCTCCCATTCAAGAGGAACCAAGCCAACTTCACTTCCTCCTCTCCAATGCCCAAGCCCCATTCAAGAACTGAAAGCAGGAAATCAGGGGATGGGATTTTTCCTTTGAAGCGAGGTTCAGAGATAGGGTTGCCAGGTGTCCAGTTTTTGCCCAGACTGTCAGTTATTCAGGTCCCCCGTCCGGTTAAAAAAAAAAAAAAAAAAAAAGACGTGTGAAAATGTCCGGTATTTCCTGCTTTCCTTGGACGAAAACCCAGGAAAGTGAGGAGCGCGGGGCCATTTAAAGGTGCAGGGCCCTTACTCCTCCCCCCACCCCCAACAGAATTTTTTCCCAGTGATTTTTGGGGGGGGAGAGAAAGAGGGGGTTCGGTATTTTTTGTTAAACCATCTAGCAACCCCATTCAGAGAGTTTCTACATGCTCAGTTCTGAAACTCATGGGAGATCGATCCTGGGTAGAGAGCACAGGCCTGAAGGTGGCTGCCTAGTTTAAGAGGACAACGCAGCCCTGCCCAGTAGCTTTGCACTGTACTTTAGGAGTGCCCCTTGTAACATGCCTGCAGGGTTACAATATCAAGTAGTTTCCTGTTCCTCCCCAGTATTACAAATCCATGGATGCAGCCAGGGGAGTGAGGAAGAGAGAGTTACTAATGCCTGCAGTACACACCAGGGACATCTACCCTACCTGTAGATGATGTTCAAGGAATGCAGGTACCCTACTGCACTGGCTACTTCAGCTGCATAGAAGCGGGCACGAGGTTCACGGAAACAGCGCTCTCTTTGCAGGTGGAAGAAGAGCTGAACAGGGAGGAAAGAGCCTGTGGGTTACTTAGGAGCAGCCCTCTCCTCCCTGCCAAAAAAAGCAATATGGTTGTTGCTGCCACTTGCAGGGCCACTCTGAACAGTCTCTCTTCTACCTGCTGTTCACTCCCATTAAGAGCAGACATCTCCACCCAAAGCACTCCGACATCTTCCCAAAGAGAGCTCCAGAGGCTGCCGTGCTCCTAGTCTCAAGCCTTTGCTTGTTGAGAAAGAAGTCTCCTCCTACCAAGGTGAAGGATATCTGAATGCCAGCCAAGTGACTACTATGGTTTGCAGAGAGTCCGCTATGCACCAGCCATTCAGAATTAGCTACAGCCAAGTTTGCTGCACATCACCATTACAGCCAACCTGGTCACCACATATTATGCCCCCACCTTGCTACAATGTGTAGTGAGACCGGACCTCAAGTGCTGTCTATAAGTAGGCTAACCATCAGAGACATCTGGCAATACCACTTAAGATGCCTTCCTTTCTAGGACTTGAAATTGGGCAGGGAACAGGCAGGTTTAACCAGGCCTCTTGAGGGAGCACAGAAAGAGTCTGTGCTATTTCAATTTGTTTCAGTTGAGGTTCAGGAATGGGACTGGAGGGAGTACCACCAATCAGCTTCCACATACTAGAACAGGATGGATGAGAGGGGGCAATTTTGGCAGGTGAGCTATAGTCAGATTTGCACCCCCTCCAGTGGTTTGAGACACTGCAGTTCCCCACCACCACTCTTGCATCAGATGTTCCCTCACTGATGGGCAGCCCAACTTTCGCTGGGCATTCAAATTTCTCAATAGGAGGTGGCCCACACGTGACAGGGCCGGTGAAACCACAAGTCAAAGAAGAAAGTTTAAGCAATGGATTATTTTATGATCGAGATCAGAGTGCAAATGTGGTCAAGGCTACTGTGTGAAAAAGGTTTGCCAAATGTTATTTCTACGGTGCTTGGCACCAGAATATCATTCAAAAGGCAGCGTCTCTAAGATAGGTCTCTGACTGGACTGAGGAATGTCACAGCAGTGTGTGCCCAGTCTTAACCAATCCATTCCAGAAATAGGCTTGACAGTGATTTAGCACAAACAGCCACAGCCAGTCTCAGAACGGGGTAACAGCAGGGCTGGTTAGTGTGTCAAACAGCAGCTGTACTTGCACTCACCTCTCCTCCATTCACATAGTCTAGCACAAAGTAGAGCTTCTCGGAGGTCTGGAAGGAGTAGTGGAGGCCCACCAGGAAAGGATGCTTCACGTTTTTCAGGAGCACGTTGCGTTCTGCCATAATGTGAGTTTGCTGCACAGAACCACGCAAGAGGCGTTAGGGTTTGTATGTTAGGTGATGCAGTTCCAGAGCCTGGCAGGTGAGTGGTCACCTAGCACTTCAAACAGAAGGTTATCAGCAAGCTCCCGGTATTGCAATTCATGCTGAGGGCGGGTCCTGGGGTTAAGTAGGGTGTGGTGCCCGGAGGTCAATCCCCAGCCCCTCTGAGAAGACTCCATGGAGCGGGACTGAGCTTGTCAAGCCACATTCTTCCAGAACTGCATTTAACAATTCCTCCCCCTCCTACCTGCCTGCAGCACATCACACCACACACAGACGCACACTGTGCTATGCACTGCGACTGCTCCCACAGCCTACAGCCGAAGCCTGCTCCTAGACACAGCGCTACGACGACTACGGCAGGGCTACTCTCAACAGGGACACTAGGCCCTGCTGCCAGAGGTTTGCAGGATCAGGCCCAGGGTTTGGTGTGGATGCAGCCCCAAAATACTGTTAACAGTTGTAGCACAGGACATGGGTGCTGAGAGGGCAAGGACTGAATGGGAGCAGCGTTTGTTTGCACCCTGCTCAAGCCAGTGCTGTTCAGCCTTCCTTTCCTCTGCACCATGGTCCTTCAGAGGAGCCCCCTGAAAAGGTGTTGCTCAGTCTGTGATGCACACCACCAGCAACAAGCAGCAGCAGCGCGGGACACTAACATGGCCTGCTTGTGTCATGAAGAAAAAGCAGCAAGTAGAAAAGGACGCACTTCCCCCAAAGGGCTCCTCAAGAGCATACCTCCTTTTTCTTCAGGATGGATTTCTTCTGCAAGACTTTCACAGCGTAAGACATCCCGTCAGACTTGCGTTTGGCCAGGAGAACCTGCAGCAGAATGGCCAGGGGAAAGGCGTGGGTCTCTGGGGTCAGCGTTTCACCCTCCCTCTGCACTTCACAAGGGGCTGGGCTATAATGTTAGAGCACGAGAAGCCAGCCAGGTGTGTTCTCCTGCTGTGTACCCTTGTCAAGGGATGGAAAAGTTCACGTCCCCTCAGTTCCCCAGCTACTTTCCCACATTCCAACCAGTCTCTGGCTAGAGACGTTTCAGAGCAGAGGATCCCATTTCTGGAGGGCCACTATCATCTCACACAGCACAGATGTGCTGGGTCAAAACTTGCCAAGACGAGCAGCCGTTCAAATGCTGCTCCTGTACCGTATGGCAGGGGCGGGCAATAAACCAGCGGCAGTTCCCCAGGCTTAGCACTTGGTGGGCTGCCACCGCTATATTTACCTGCGCCTCCACAGGCGGGAGATGGCACAGACAGGGACGCCAGTTCCCACAGCTCCCGTTGGCGAGAATGACGATCCACAGCCAACAGGAGCTGCAAGTTACTGTACCTGTGGAGGCGCAGGTAGATATAGCAGCGGGGCCTGCCAGGGGCTAACCCTGGCAGATCAGATTGGCCCACAGGCCATACGCCCACCCCTGCCCTGCAGTCTTCTACCTTTGAGGCAGTAAGATACCACGCACCCTCTTCCTCTGGGCTACTAGGAAGGAAAGCGGACTAAGGAACTATCGTGGCTCTCGAGTCTTGCCAGGCAACACAGACACAAAGCACTGATTAGCCTATTGCCGTTGACCTCCCCTAGACACTTGTTCACATCCCCTACAGGCCTCTCTGATCCCAGTCCCATTTCGGCACGGCTGCCAGGCTACATGAAGCCCACTCAGCTACTTCTGGATCTAGTTCAGCCAGGGGAAAGAGGAGACTCTGCAAGGAGGCCTTCAGGAACCCATAACCGACCCCAAGCTACGCCCACTTACTTTTCCAAAGCTTCCTTTGCCAATCACTTTCAGAAAATCAAAGTCTGTTGGCTTGGCACTGTTGGACAAGATGACAGCAGATTACCACCCACATCACCTGTTCCATGCACAGAGTCAGGGGTTTGCTTTTTTCAAAACGGTACAAGGAAGGTCAGCCCTGGGAGAGGGACTGGGGGGGGGGGGGCATACTCTTCATTCACTAGACTGGCTTCCCCTACGCCAGCCATATATGCAGCAATCCAAAGGCAAAGATTTATTATGGTGCAACACAAGCATACGAGGGCAGCAGTGGGGTATGCCAGATGCCTGGAGAATCTCCACTGCTGAACAGGACAGGCAGATGGGAAGCCAATCAGTTATTTCACTGCAAACCTCACCCTGTGCTCTGGGTTCAATACTCTCCCATGTAAACACAGGCTACTTACTTTGGATTAGCAGAAGGGCCAAGGTTGATGTTGTCAGTCAGTGTCGGAGGCTGGAGGGGACACAGACATTAAGCAATTAGTCAGCAGTTCCATTACCAGGATCACGATTCCAGTGAAGACGATCACATTGCTTTCCTTGCTGCTGTAAGCCCTGTGTTACAACCCCAAACAGATACCATCAGCCTATTTTTGAATCAGAATCTCAGTCGTCAGTGGCCCATAGTCTGAGACAATTGGCTTTACTCCTTTCCCCCCCACCCAGCCCCCAACTCTTCCACGTTCCCCAGTGAGAGTGGAACAAATCTCCTGGCACTTCTCAGAAGGAGGTCCATCCCCACAAGAAGCATACGGAGAGGAGCAGGGGTGAGAGGAGGAATGCCATGTCTCTTCCTCACCTTAGCTCCAATCATGTCCTAAAGCAATGGCACCCGTCAGAATCCACCCCAGCCTGCCCAGCCCTTCGGAAGGCAGCAACTCTTGTGAAGGAATGATGGAGGAGGTTTAGCGGCTAGCGTGGTTTGTGCAAGATGACCACCTTCGGTGCCAGGAAAAGTAAGGTGCGCCGTTAAATTCACTGGGCCTGCTTGGCCAGTGAGTCGCAGGCATGCATGGGCCATGGCCACCATCTGAGCTGGGCAAGGGACTCACACAAAAGGTGAGAGCTCCCCACTCCTGTAGCATGTACAGGTCATTGCAGGTCATTGCCCGTGCCTTCATGAGGGCTGACAATTTTATCCCCATTGCTAACGGGACTGCAAGGACCTGCAGCTAAGCATACCCAAGGCTGGGATTCAGAGCCAGGAAATTAATCTTCCTACCGCCTGACAACAACACTAACTCAGCCCTTGGCTCAGGGACCACTCAGAACTGAAAGCTATGCTAAAGCCCTGGAATTCCTCTTTTCTCTGGTGGTACAAGGCAGAGCTGGGGGGACCCATTCTCTACTTGGTTCCTCCCCCCCCCCCAATACACAAGTCCTTTTCCTTCTCTATCCCCGGGGGAGGGGGAGTTCCCTATCCCCACACATTACAGGAAACAAGCCCTCTGCTAGACATTGTCTAGCCCTCTGCTAGACAAGCCCCCTTGCACCCCACTTCCCTGTGACCCCAGCCAGAACACAAGCAACTTCTTCCTCACCATCCAGTATTGCCCACTGGTGATCACAGGGACAAGGTAGTACTAGAAGGCCATCAAAGCCAACAGGAGGAGTATACTGTATTAGTTTCATAGGGTAGATTCTGCAAGGACCAAAGCCTAGGGACATCTCCCCATCTTTCCAACACACCTTCTGCAGCAAGAGATTATTGGGTGGGAAGGAAGACAGATGCAGACAGAGACGCACAGACACAGGGCAGAGCTAAAGAGTCCCCATCCACCCAGCGAAGGGTGTGATTGAATGGCCACACTCCAGGGGAAGCGAGCCAACTCTACATGCCCCACCACAGGGACACTGCTCAGCCTGGACACTCCGCAGCCCTGCAGGGTTCTTGTGGCCAGAGTGAATCAACGTGCTGGAGAGGGGCTAAAAGCACCCAGCCTGATGCAGTCTTTCAGGCAACACGTCCTGGCTTAAGATCTGCAGTCGACTTGATGGTGATGCACCCGGTATGGCTGAGGAATCCTGCAACAACTGGAGCTGTCTCAGTGGATTGCAGAAATGGGGTGTCGTGAGTCATCTCCCACCCATGGCAAGGGAAGGGTCCTGCCTTTGTACCTGAAATGGAACAAACTGCTCTTTGGCCAGCAGAGACATCCCACCCTCTTCTCTCTTTCCTGAGAGGAGAGACGGATTAAGGCCAAGTTGTCCAGCTCACATTTCTCCTACACTGTGTCCTGCCTCCTTGTTCCAATAAGCATAGGAACCAGCAAGCCAGAACTTTACCTGGGGGCAGTTATCCGGGTGTCTGGAACGGTCCATTAAGAAGGCAATTCTTTCAGCACTTGAAAGAAAAATAAAATGATAATAAAATAAACCAGCACAGAGACCGTTCATCAGCACTTGGTCCTTGGCCTTCAGCCTGTCGGGGTTCAGAGCCAGTCTTCAGTGTACCGAAAGCAGATACCCATTAGAGGGACATGCATGATCTATCCAGCTGAGAATGGATAAGGCAGGAAAAAGCATTTCACCACCCGATAACTTGAGGCCTCACAGATTGTGCTGCCAACACAATGTCTGGAGCCATGAAGCCTGATTCTTCATTGCCCTGCAGCTGGTATAGCTGTTTCCATGGGTGCAGGGGGGGTACAGACGGCTCCTTCTCGCTTGCAGTATGAATTTTGTGCCCTCCCTTTGCACTCATGTCAGAGATGACAAACGGTGCAGGCCCAAGAGGAACCAGTCCAAGGTGTTTCAGTGCCCAGGAGCAGCCACAAGATTCCCGAAAACTCAATGATCTGCCAACATTTTCAAGCGGGGCCCCTGATTCCGGCCCCTCTCATCAGAGCAGCTCTTGTTCGGCTACTTGCTGCAGACAGGAGCAGCGCAAGCCTCTCTCAGACTTGTTCCACCACCTCTCAAAAGAAGGGACCTTACGGCCTAGCAAAACCCTGAGCATCTAGTGCAGCCACCCCCGGAAGTTCTCTTCTGCCATCCACAAGTAGATGCTGAGAACAGCCAGGTTGCTCTGCACCCCCATGCTTACAGTCTTGTGATGTGCTGGGGGCTGGGGCTGAATCCACCTCTCCAGACCCAGAAGGTCCATTTGTCCCTGTAGGGAACCAAGTTAACACAAGCGAGGTTTGACCTCATGGCTTTTCCCATCATGGCGCTGGCCCAGTTTCAGTACCATTTCCCAAGCCTAGACCACCCTGACAGGCCGTGTCTAGACCAGCCACTTTTTCCGGAAAAACTTGCCAGCTGTCTACACTGGCCGCTTGAATTTCCGCAAAAACACTGACGATCTCATGTAAGATTGTCAGTGCTTTTGCAGAAATACTATGCTGCTCCCGTTCGGGCAAAAGTCTTTTTCCAAAAAACTTTTGTGCAAAAGGGCCAGTGTAGACAGCAGTGATTTGTTTTCCACAAAAAAGCCCCGATTGCGAAAATGGCGATCAGGGCTTTTTTGCGGAAGAGC